AATATGAAACATTTTGTTTGCACATTATCTGGACTTCAATTAAAAAGGTTATTCTTTATGAAATGATGTCTCTTATTGAAGGGAAACGAGAGAAGCTTTTCCTGGCAGCTACATCTAAGAGTTGATGACTGAGAGCCACTTTTTTTTTTTTTTGAACTTGCCACTTGCCATTGTGCCCTTCACTTCTACAAAGTCGACAGTATTGTGGTTCTCACTATAATAGCTCAACAAAATATGTACCTTGATGGATGCATACTGTGATGTTCCCAAAGAAAAAATCATGGTTTGTAATTTTTAAACCTGGCACTGTTGCTTACCATCTTTTGTTGGGGAAATTATCAATATGTCTGAATGTAATGCGCAAAGCCCCTTCAGCACTTCTATAGTCATTAATAGATCAGATACTTGTAACCACTACCATAGTTACTCCGCTTCTTAGTTTATATACAGTTCGTTCCGTTCCTACCAAAGCTATTCTAGTTTCTATTCCATCCGTTCCAAATTATAAGTCGTTTTGACTTTTTTGGTTCATCCATTTTGCTATGTATCTAGACATAATATTATATATCTAAATGCATAGCAAAATGGATGTATCAAAAAAGTCAAAGTGATTTATAATTTGGGACGGAGTGAGTAGTCATTTTTCCAACCAACTTAGTAGACTAAGCAACTCCATGGCCCTTGTCAGTTTATGACTGCTGTTTTTTTTTCATAACAGTGTCCTATGCATAATTTGCAAAGAGGGAGCCAGATATGGAAGTTTTTCCTAGACACCTTTTTCTTCTGTAGGACATACACAGTAGGCATGTAGCCTTGTGTTGGTCCTGCGTTCAAAAATTTGAATTTGGGCGTTTGGGAGCAAAAGAGGCCTCTAGTACCATCTGTATATAAGCTGTGCTATGTAACTGTGCCTCTTCAGATACAAGAAAGAAGGGGAAGGGGGCAGCAGAGTGAAATTCGAAATTCGAAACAGGCACTGCCTCTGTTACCAAGTCTTGTCTGAGCAATATTCTGGAGCTTGCACCAGCCTTCCGACAGAGCAGCCTGATTCCTCACTGCAAGTAAGTTCCTATGTCGATTATTCTGTTTTTCATCCCTCCATTCAGACTTTGCTTGAACTATCTCTTTTTTTTTTACAGAAATCTTTTTCCTTCTTAAACCTGATTCCTTCCTCTTCTCCTCAGTCTGGGTATCAGGCAGATGACGAGTTTAGCCTGGGATCAGTCGGTGATCCTAGCAATCATTCAACAGCAGAAGTGAGCAAGGGTTCATGGCCTTCTATAGCTACTAGTGGTCAGGCACGTGCGGCACGCACGTGTCTACCAAAAACAAAAAAACTTTTATAATAGCGAAATAACAAAACATACATAAATAGTTCATAGTTGCACAACAATATATCCATATTCACAGTGCAACTGTACCACAATTTGTAAATTTTTGTTACATATACCAACCGGGCTTTGTTTCAATTTCACCTCTCAGTTCTATCTAAACAAGAGCCATTACTATTGCTGTATGCCACTTTTGAATGCCATCATAACCCCTTTGGAGTCCTTTCCTGTATGCAGATCCAAGAAACATTTTCAGTCAGTGTAAATAGAGGAAAGAACCATTTGTATCATATAATGATCAATACAACTTCAAATAAAGGAAAGAAACTTTGCATCATGTAATGATCAAACTATTCCTCCACCGCCATTGTCATAGGCGGAGCCGTTTGAAATATCAAAGATCTGAATCATGAGAAAACAGATAGACCTTATGTTTTTTTTGTGGAATGCTAGCCCAAAAATCACATAATTAAGAATGATTGAGATTGATAGCACATAATTACATAAATACCATGTTTGCTTGCTGCCAGTTCATAGACACCCGTCTCCTTTTTGGATGAACTCACCATCAAATTGCATAATGCAAAGCATGGAATAGGAGGCCTGCAAGAAAACCAAAACAAAATGATGAATTAAAGATATCATATATCTAGTTGGAATGAAATCACACTACTGTACACATATTTAAGTATGCTGCAATTAAAGTACCATCACATCTGAAAATAATACAGTGATAATTGGGAGAAAATGGCATAATTGTGAACTCTGGCAACTGCATGAGCCAAAATTTAGAAGGACAAGGTATATAAAGAAATGATCACAAAAGGTGTGGTTGCTATTGACAGATAACTGATCAGAATTGGTGAACATTAAAATTAAGCTAAAGGTGGTTCAAAAAGTACTTTGCTTTCTTGAGTTTATTTTTATTCACCAAACATTAACTAACCCATTGAATCTACCAGGGTTTAGCTTTCAGTGGTACATAGTTCATGAAGAAATAGTAGTATGGTTTAAAAGTGTTATTTGTCAGACTCACCAGGCTATGTAGCTCTAGTCTGATATGTAGTATATTTGTGCAGGTGTGATGCGTTCAATGAAATGCCAATTATTTTGGTAAAATGGACCAGAGAAGCTATATATAGCACTTAATCATAGGAACACTACTGCAATTGGGAACATGTTTTATTTTAGATAATGAGAAACTTGTTAATTTGTTATATTGCTGACTTGTTAACTCATGCATATTATATTCAGTTAATAACTACTGCACATTATGCTTAGCATGTTTTAGTTAGCATGGTTTTGAAAACAGGACATTAGCATGATTCAGTAATATTAAAAAAACATATAGAGCATCTGCTAGTTGATGATTTTCCATAGCACTGATCAGTTTACTGAAAAGAACTACATGTATTCAGTTGACAACTACTGCACATATATATCTTAAAATAGGTTCTTTTAGTTACCATGGTTCTACAAACAATATATTAGCATGGTTCAGTAATAATCTAGAAAAAAAACCTGCATCACAGAGAAGCATCTAGCTCATGTTATTACATAGCATGATTGAGTTATCAGTTAAAAAAACTGAAATGACTATCCTTGATGCCTCAAGGAATAACAGAGCCACAAGTAACTGAAATTAAAAAAAAAACTACCACTTAAACCCTGTCTTTCCCTCCTTTCCTCTCCCTTTGTCTCCCCCTCTCTCCATTCCAAAATTATGAACAACATAAATGGAAGTGGATAGCTAAAATGACTAATTTTAACAATAGTAATAGTACCTTCTATAGAATCCTTAAATCACAATTAATTTGACCATTAGTTTCTTCTCACTTCAAATGACAAACTGAACAAATGTTTAATCTTTCAGACGGGTAAGGAAAAAGGAAATGCTCTCAGTTAAAATATGCCGCAAATTATTACAGTTTACTGAACAAACAAATTCATACAAATTGCTTAGTATAAAATTGAGCCCAGGGTAAACTCCGACAAGTTGTGCACCCGTAGATTACCAGGTTTTGGCTGCCCATGCCAGATGGTGTGGCCTTTACCTGAGTGGAGCCACAAATAAGAATTATGAATCCAAGGAAATTTGGAAATCCTACCAGACTGGACAGTGCGTATGTTATTTAGAATCTCGATCTTTAGGATGGAAACTCCATACCTGCCTGCTGCCTGCAATCCATGTTGTGTTCCTCCCCTTAGTCCACTTACCCTCCTTTTCGAAAGTAGTTTAATCCTCAGCAGCACCAAGAAGAAACAAAATTTAAGTAAACATCATGTTATAAAACTCACGTGCACTCAAATTAGTTAGTCAAGGAATTCGCCTACATACATATCTCTATGGCTTGCTCATTGGGCTAATCAGAGAAAAGAAATCCTGATGGAGATGATAAAATAAAGCTAGATAGCAGCAGCAGTAGTGTAGAAAAAAACATTCAGTAATCATCAATCATTCAATCATGTTCTAAGACATCCTCAAGAGGCCATGGAAATAAAAGGCTGCACCTCTACTACGTTCAGACTACTGCACACACATGAAACAAATTGAACTCACATGAATATTAAGACTTTATTAGATGAGAGCTCAAAATGGTAATAAACAAACTTTGTATCAGCTTGCATTGTTTCATGGCCTTTTTATAGCTGTACAACTAATAAATTCATATTTTGCATCTTTCTGTGGTTATAACTTTGCTAAAAACAGGCAGAACACGCAATAACTCGTGCCGAATTACTGATGAGTCTCCTAGCAACGGTTTGGAATTGTGATGCCATCCCTAACATGATGATAGACCATGTTCCATGTAACCACAAGGCAGTGACAGATTTTGGTGCCTTTTTAGAGTTGTAATTTGGTTTGCATAGGCTGCCTAAAAACTCCATGCTAGGCCCTATATATTTTTGTTGTAATACTGTTGTGCTGGTGGACCTCCTAGATATTTTTAGTAATCGGTTACCTTGATGTAAATGGATTGATTTCCCTGAACAAGTTCTAAAAATTTATTATCCTAAAGACTCTCTTGGGTATATAGAGAGAAAAGATCTCTGGTGGACATATTTCATCTAGTCAAAATTTGAATTTAAAATCCAGTTTCACCACTTTTGCACTAGGTTCCATCCTATCAAACATCAAAATGGCATATCAAATCCAGTTCGCCGGAACTACTTTTCAGCTATGGAACAATGTTTTGATCTCGCAACATTTCAGCATAAGCCAAGTTTCAAACATCAAAATGGCATATCAAACCATCAACATATCAACCACACAGTATATTGATTAATCCCAAAAAAAAAAGTGTCATAAACTGGAACCGTCAGCCCCAGCCCCACGGTTCAGCGACTCCATTGGTTCCCTCCATTCGGCTGAACCAGAACGCCAAATCACCGGAACAGCTAGTACGTCGTCCCGGTCACCACAACCAAAAAAAAAACACGAATCGCAAAGCAGACCGGGCGAACTGGAACCGTCGATGGCCCCCGATGCGCCTTCTGGAACTTTCCCAGCCCCCTCGGCCATCCCCTCCGGCCCTCCCCCAAGCAAACCCCAGCATTTAAACCCCCCACACACTTCCGTCGCTGTCAAGGCATTTCTCGCAGCAACCGCTATAAGCCAAAACGAAAACCCCAGTCACGAACGCAGGAGAGAGAGGGAGGGATCCATCCATGGCTTCCGCTTCCGCCGTCGCTTCCAAGGGGGTCCCGCTGGCCGCCCTCCTCAAGGAGCTCCTCGCCTCACCGTCCGCCTCCGCCCGTCGCCTCTCCATCTCCAAGCTCTTCTCCGCCGACTCCAGCGAGGACTCCAGCGACGAGGACTCCAGCGACGAGGACGCCGTCGCCGCCGCCCGCCGCCGTGAGCGCGACCTCTCCATCCGCAAGCTCTTCTCTGGAGGTACCGCCTCGCGTTGGCCGTTCCCTTCCCCGCCTTATTTCCTCGAACTAGGCTGGTGAAGCGAAAGAGGGAGAGAGTACTGATGATTTGGTGGTTTTCTGCAGACGTGCTGGACGAGGCGTCGAAGATGCGCCTGCTGCTGGCGCTGACGGAGGACGACGTCGGCGCGGCGTCCAGGACTGGAGGCTTCTCCCCGCGCGGGTGGTGGGTCTCCAAGGAGGATGGCGACGCGGTGCAGCTGAAGGTGGCGATGCCGGGGCTGGGGAAGGAGCACGTGAAGATGCGGGCGGAGAAGGACGTCCTGGTGATCAAGGGGGAAGGCGACGGCGACGGCGACAAGGGCTCCGCACGCTACAGCTACCGCATCGTGCTCTCCTCCCAGGCTTTCAAGATGGACCAGATAAAGGCGGAGATGACGAACGGCATGCTCAGCCTCACCGTGCCCAAGATCAAGGACGAGGAGCGCAAGGACGTGTTCGAGATCAAGATCGAGTAGGCGGGGTGGGGGATCAAATGGGTCCTTCCGGGTCTCTGGTTGCAGTCCATATCGTAGTTGCAGTGCGCTAGTCGTAATCTACTAGTAGTAGTAGCAGTAGTTTTGGAGCAGTCGTTTCTGTTGCAGAGCAGCAGATGCTGCAAACGAGAGTGACCTTTTGGTGGTGGTGGTGTCTCGTGCCTGATCTGAGGCAGCCATGCTTACTTTTTCTGTTCGTCTTGCAAAGATAGTTTCCTGGATGGCGATGATCACTGATGATCTCGTGATGAACTTTCGATGGTAATGGCATCTGCAGTTAATGATCGACATCTTATATGAGCTTCCTGTTATTTGTGTTCTTGTGTGTATTATTGCATCTACCATCCTTTCTCTTTTATGAAGTTGTGTTTATTGTTGAATAGATCCGAAACTGGGCCTCAAAGTTTTTTCACTCTCTCTCCATCACATCAAATTTTTGGACATATACATGAAGTATTAAATATAGATAAAAAAATAACTAATTACACAGTTTGATTGTAAATTACGAAACGAATCTTTTGAGTCTAGTTAAGCTATGATTGAACAATAATTGTCAAATACAAACGAAAGTGCTACAGTGTCCAATTCTGATTTATAACACTCATCTAAACAAGGCCCTGGTGATCTTTTTGAGACGTCGTTTTGTCTAAAGCAACCCTGCAGTTTCTTGGATCGGTGATGACTGACTGATAATCTCGTTTCAGAACTTGAGTAGTAGTGAAATAGTAGTGGTTACTGATGATCGTTGATCGGGATAAATTTCTGGTGTCTGTTCTCGTGCTCTTGTCGATTATTGCTTTTTGGCATTCTTTACGGTTTTGTTTACATCTAAAGCAACCCCCTAAATTCCTGTCCTCCCTGTCTTTCTTTTTCCTAATCCTCACCGAGCGCCGCTCTTGGCTTCTTTTGCTCGGAAACACTTGCTGTGCTTGATTCGGTTTGCTGGAATGCAGGTTCGTGTAAAACGAATATAGTAGTACGTGTGATGTATGGCCCCGTTCGTCTAAAAAAACGAGCCGAAATACTGTTTCAACTAATTTATTGGGAAAGAAAAATACTATTTTAACTGAAAATAAGCTAAAAATACGGATTATAAAAAAAACGAACATGACCATATGTCTACGTCTACTTAATTTGCTTGATGTATGATATGTCTACGTCTACTTAATTTGCTCTCTCTAGTGTATATATACGTACATCTCTGCATCATGGAACGTGGAAGTAAATGTGTATTGTGTAAGTCCTGTTCTCTATTTGGAACATGGATTTTTTTCATGAGGTTAAACTAAATTATGTGAAATTACTGAGTCTGAATAAACCAATCTACGCACTGTTCGTTTGGGCTGGTTTGGTTTATAAACCATGACTGACAGTACTGTTGACTGGTTTAGGCCGCGTTTAGATAGCAAAAATTTTTGGCCTGAGCCAAAAACCTGACAACTGCAGGTTTTGGCCAAAAACCTGAGATCTAAGATTTTTTGGGTTTGCTGTTTTGTTCCCAAAATTTTTTGGATGGTGTTCCCAAAACCTGACAGCTGCACCATGCAACATGCAAACACATGCATGCATCGGCTGCAAACACATGCAGGCACCGGCTGCATGCTGAAGCTGCAAACGCATGTTTGATCACAGTGACACAACATATGCAATTAACAATTAATCATGCATAATTCATCCACAAAACTGTATTGACGCAACTGTACATCTGCAGTACACATACATGTCCTTAAACACATAAAACTGTCAAGAATCGTTTAGCAAAGCATAAGCAATCGAATCACGAAATTCATTCATCAGATCAGACTCATCCTCAACTTCCTCGGGGTCAGGCTGACTCTCAGACGCTTCTCGCGGCACATAGTTATCATCACGGTCACACCTTGCAAAGTGTCTATCCCCTATGCCACTTATCCTAATGAAATTATATAGAGCACAACATGCAACTATGATTTGGCTTTGTTTATGAGGTGCATAAGAAGGGATTTCATGCAAGATGCGCCACCTCATTTTCAAAACTCTAAATGACCTTTCAATGACATTCCGAAGACATGAATGTGCATAATTGAAGGTCTCCTCTTTACCTTGGGGTTCTGGGGCGTCTCGATACTCCTGCAGATGGTACTTAGTTCCCTTGTAAGGAGCAAGGTAACCTAGCCGGTTAGGGTACCCGGAGTCCACAAGGTAGTATTTCCCTACATCAGCAAAAAAAAATATTTTACATTGAAGTAGTTGAACAACAAGGAACCAAATGTGCTATCAGAAAGGTGTGTACCTACAGGTGGATGTGGAAAGACATGGCTGTATGTTGTTGTTCCATCATTGAATACTCTCATGTCATGTACAGACCTCGGCCAACCAGCAAGCACAAATGTAAATCTCATGTCAAAGTCACAGACAGCCATGACATTTTGTGTAGTCATGCCATTGCGGCACAAGTGCTGCACAAACTTATCATTGGGCACCACACAAGGTACATGAGTCCCATCTATACCCCGTATGCAGTCCTTGAAGTAGGGATAGAACCTAGGGTTTCTCAGTCTAGGATGCATTGTTCTAAATTGTGGGTCGACAGGTTTAATGATGTCAGCAGCAAGCTTCACCATACACTTCAAAACTTTGTTTACCATGTTGGAGACAGTCCCTAGTGACCTCTCAAATCTGTCCTCAGCTTGCCTAAAAGATTGTGGTGCCCCAATCATCCAAAGAAACATCCCTAGAGCCTCAACCGAGGTGGACTTAGCACTAGATTTGAGGCCATATGATTGTACTAAAATATCATGCAGTCTATGGAACATAGGTGGGCTCATTCTAAACATGCTAAAACAGGTCTTGCTATCCCCCGGCTTCCTCTATACCCATTCCAAACCAGTCATGGTAGGTTGCCTATACTCAGCCCTATTCAAATGCTTGTCAATGTGTAGGGCATACAGGTACATACCATAGATAAAAGCATCATCATCTTCAACATCCTCTTACTCAGCCATCATCATCTCTTATAATACATCCCAAGGGTCTACACAATGGGTTGCTGCTGTTGATACAACATCAACTTGTCAAAACAAACAAGGAGTAAACTCAGTCATGAATCACATTACAAATCAATGTCATGCACGACTACGTTCACTGACATGTGCCAGTCACTCTCACCCATGCATCACATAGTTCAAATGGTCACCATACTTAAAGTTCACCAAACATTACTACATTTAAGTTGTTGAAATAAGAAACATCACAAACATAGTTGAAACACACATTCATGCACTATAGACTTAGTTCAAATGATATAGGACATGGCTGACATTGTTTCAGGACACCATTACGAAATAAGATAAGATGGTCTATGGGTCGACCGGCGCAGCTTGCTCGATGATGATCATCCTTTCTTCAGGGTTGTTGGCAAGGAAGAAGTCCATATCACTTTCATTGTGGATGACCTTGTACAGCCCCCTGAACAATGTTGGAGTCTGTGCACTTATACCCATCTCCTTTGCTATCTGGGTGACCCTGTCTATCTTCTGGCTAAGGGCCGACCATGAATTGTGGTCCTCTTGCTTCCTGTGCTCAAACATGCTCTCCATCATGCAGAGCCCACGGTTGGCAATTTCATTGTGTGTCCTCATGTTGTTGTCCATTGCCCTCAATGCTGGGCTCTTCGACCTCTTACGTGGGCTGGAGGCAGTGGTGCTCGTGCTGCTGGCCCTCTTGTTGCTAATTCTAAGTGGGGTCAGCTGGTCATCCTGTTCATCTGCTGCCTCTTCATCGGAGCTTCCACCATCCAAGTCAATAGAACCACATTCACCAGCAACAAAAGAGGTGGAGCCATCTACTGTGTTTCCAGTAAACATTTTGTCCATTTGATCTAAGTACTCAGGCAAACCTTTCCTGAACTTCATCAAATCAGATTGCCCCTGCAATATGAAATCATTTGTTATGCAGTGTTTTACTTAGTAAGTGCTGAAACCCAGAAGAGATAGATAAACCATTTACGTTGGTATTTGCTTTCCACCATGCATTAGTGACGTCAACAGTTCCATCGTCGCTACGGCCTAAGCCAGAGGCGTAGCGGAGCTTGTTACAGAATGCCCATTGGGCCTTCAGCTGCCTTAGCCTACCAGCAATCTGCTCCCTGTCATGGACCAAACATGTTGCTGCTTGGTACCTCCTTATGAGGTCCCTCCACCCAGTCTTGCTCATGACTCCCTTGGTACAATTGCCAATGGTAATTTCATGGCACCATATGTCACAGAACTTCTTAGTGTTCGGTACAGTCCAGTTTGCCTTGTGTTTGATAGCCTAAACGATGCTTGTTTCAGTTCACCACATGTACAGAGATTAAAGCATTTGGTAAACACTTAAGCTAGGTTAATCAATATCTACAACTGTTGTAGCTTAAATTTGTATCACAGAACACTTAAGCTAGGTTAATCTAGACACATGCATGTAACTCAGCAGATCTACTACTAAACAGAAGATCAAGGAGAAAGGGAGTGGCATTTGTACCGGGAGTCGCGGGGCGTGCGTGTTGTCGTCCTGATTGGAGTTGTCATCAAGAATGGCTGGCCTCGGCCCGCGGACACGCGCACTGCGGCCCCTGCGACGGCCAGACGTGCCTCCTCGTGGACGGAGAAAGAGGAGGGACGAAGCCGCCTCCAACGGATGTTCCACCCATGCCTGCTCCTTGTCCTCCTCCTGCCGGCGATGCCAGTGTTTGACCCGAGGTTGCGCGCACTGTTGCGGGAAGGCACGCGGATGGGGGTGGGAGCCATGGGGGACCTCGTTGTCCCCCCGAATGTAGCCCGCGTAGGCCTGCATCTGCGTCCAGTCCTCGCCGGCGTTGAGATCCAGCGACTGCAACCCCAGCCGGGACTGGTTGAAGCTGCTGGAACCTGAGAAGGTTTGCGCCGTGTCAGGGAGGAGGCCGCTATCACGCAAGCATGACCCTGAGGATTATCGGGCGCGAGAAATCCACGATGCGCAGCGTGTCATGTGGCCGTGGCCGGCGCCGTCGATGTTGTGGTCGCCATTGTAGCCGGCGCCATTCATGTCGTCGCCGTCGTGTCCTTCCATCACCGAACGCGCGAAGGTGGTCCTCGATCCGGACTCCGACGGCGTGGATCTAGCGGCGGAGCTCGTGGATCTGCGCGGCGGCGGTGGGATGGCGGGAGACTTGCAGCGGTGGGAGGGAGTGACCGACGACGGCGCCCTAGGGTTTGAGAGTGGATGAGACTGAGGGATAGAGGGCCAGTGTCAGGCGAGCGTGAATGGATAAGGGGTGGGTGCAGGGAAACAGACGTCCTTCACGCCTCCCAAGCCGCACAGTACTAGGCCGAAACCCCAGCGTCAACAGTACCAGGCCAAAAATTTTTGGATGCTGTTTAGTTCCAAAAAGCCCAAAGTCAAAAAAATTTGGGCTGCAATCTAAACGCAGTCTTAGTGTGAGAGAAAAAAATTATTCATTAGCTGATAAGCTATAGTTTATAAGCTAAATACCACCTAATGAACGGGCCGCTAGATGCAGGCTATTCGGCAACGTTGCGTGCAGTATTCGACAACGTTGCGTGCAGTATTTGTGGTTGTGTGCACTGTGCACTGTGCAGTGTTTGTGGTTGTGTCTTGTGTGTGAGCCGGCGTACAAGATTCCGTTCCTCTCATCAAAGAAAAGTTGACGCCAAAGAAAAAGTTGCCCATCTTCTGGGAATATTTACAGAGTTCTTGGACCCCATGTTTCATGGCTCGTGTAAAGTTGGGATGTCACATCAAAATTATATAGGGTGTTACATATAATGTTCGGATACTAATAAAACAATAAATCGTAGAATCCATTCGTAAACCGTATGATAAATTTATTAAGTCTAATTAATTCGTTATTAGCGCATGTGTTACTGTAGCACTTTATTTTCAAATCATAGATTTATTAGGTTTAAAAGATTTATTATGCAAAGTAGTCGCAATCTGTATAATTATTTATTTATTTAATCTATATTTAATACTTTAAACAAGACCTCAGTCTCAGTGGCTTACTAACCTCTCGACTTCGTAGAAACCAGAGAAACCATGGGTCCAACCCGGTCACACCAACTGACCAGCAGCGTCTCATGCACCGCACGAATCACAAAGCAGAACCCCCGGGACCAGAAGCATCCTCCCGAGTCTTCCAATCCAACCCGGTGCTCGTCCCCTCCGTTATACAGCCTGTTTGTTCAAGAGGCTGTATCGTATCATAGATTATTTACTGTTAACTAATTTAATATTAAAAAAAATATTATTCTTAACTAAAAATTTACGATTATTTACGAAGCGAAGATAACCCTCCGCCAAGAAAACGCAGGGCGCAGGCGCAGCATTTAAGACCCCACGCCCCCACCCCGGTACCCAACCCCACTCCCGTCGCTGTCAAGGCATCTGGGCATCACCACCTCGGTGAGGGTGGGCGAGAGAGAGACATCTTCCCATGGCTTTCGCCGTCGCCTCCAAGAGGGCCCCGCTGGCCGTGGCCGGCCTCCTCAACAAGCTCCTCCTCGCCGCGCCGTCCGCCTCCGCCTCCGGGGCCGCGCCCGCCGCCGCAGCGCTCCGCCCAGCCCCAGCGTGCGTCGTCGCTGCCCGCCGCCTCTTCAGCTCTGGCGGCGCGCCGTTCCGCCGCGACGACTTCGACAGCAGCGAGGAGTACAGCGGCGACGAGGATGTCGTCTACGATCGCCTCCGTTCGCGCGGCTTCTCCGTCTCCATGTTCTCCTCAGCAGGTACGCATCGTGCTGGCCGCTCCGTGCCTCCGTTTCCGCTCGTTTGATTTCAACCTCGTGAAGAAGAGGAACACGGAAGCAGATTGCTGAGGGTGTTTGTGCGATTTGGGTTTTTTTTGGCAGGCGAGCCGATGAGCCTGGGCCGGCTGCTGGCGCTGATGGAGGACAAGGCAGCGGCGGCGCCAAGGCGCGAGTGCTGGGTGTCGAAGGAGGACGCCGACGCGGTGAAGCTGAAGGTGGCGATGCCGGGGCTGGGCAAGGAGCACGTGAAGGTGTGGGCGGACCAGGTCGGCCTGATGATCGAGGGGGAGGGCGACAAGGACACCGAGTACGACGACGAGGAGGAGGCCCCGGCGTGGTACGGCCGCCGCATCGAGTTCCCGGCGGACACTTTCAAGATGGACCAGATCAAGGCTGAGATGAAGCATGGGGTGCTCAAGGTCACCGTGCCCAAGATCAAGCTCGAGGAGCGCGAGAACTTCCAGGTCAAGGTCGAGTAGGGGAAGGGATGGAATCAGTCAGTCCAGGTCTCGTACGTAGTTCAATAGTTGCAGTGCGCTAGAACCAATAGTTTAGTGGAGTAGTAGTTGTTGCTGATGGAGGAGGTTGCGGATTGCTAGCGAGAGGGAGACGTGTTTTTTTTGGATGGCGATGTTGTCTTGTGCCTGATGGTGTCTGAGGCAGGGCAGCCATGTTTACCTTTCAGTTCGTCATGTTCTGGTTTCGTGATGGTGATGATCACTGATGATCTTGCTATGAACTTCTGATGAGTAATGGCATTCGCAGTTACCGATTGGGACCTATCTGTGTTTCTTCGTTCTTGTGTTCTTGCATTGCTCTTTGCAACTGAAACTGTGTGTGTACTTGTTTTGATCTGACTTTAGGATGGTCCGCATGTAGTAGTAGCAACTCGGTGTGTGAAATGACAATTGGTGCCTTGTTCACCTTTCTCTGTTCATGCTTTTGAGCTTCCTGGATTGGTGATGACTGAAAATCTTTTTGATGAAATTGAGACTTTTTTACCTTTCTCTGTTCATGCTTTTGAGGTTCTTGGATTGGTGATGACTGAAAAATCTTTTATGAACTTGACTACTTGAGCAACCTAGTTACTGATGATCAACTTCTATATTTGGTGCCTGTCCTCCTGGGCTCCGTGCTTTGTGCGGTGTAAATCATGTGTTTATTTATCCTTGGCTTATTCTGAACTTTGGTTGAGACATGTAGGCTGCTTTGGGTTCTCACTTCTCAAATTGGAACACGCCACAGATTGCGTCAGGGCTCGCCATGGTCATCTGCTTCTGCTTGAGATTTTGCTCTGACGAGGTTTTTTCTATGGTAATGACGATGATAAGAGAAATTACAGAGTGGGACAGTAGTTGTTTGTCGGAATCTATATGCTTCATGTTCTTTTGGGTTTTGCATTGCCCATTGTTGGACTGATCGTATGGCTGGGACAGTAGTTGTTTATCGGAATCGATATGGTTCATGTTCTTTTGGGTTTTGCATTGCCCATTATTGGACTGATCTTATGGCTGAGACTTGTTTGTTGTTCCCAACTGCAACTTGGTGCTTAGTGTTAATCCACGAAGTGTCAATCCATGATCTAGGATGGAAACAGACATCGAGTCTCTGGGCTTCCAGATATCCCTGCTTGAGAAATCGAAATGTTAGAATGTGATTATCGATCTCCCATTGCGATGTAAACTACACTGGCTCATTGCTTTATAAAGTGAACCACGCACGAAATGCCAAATCGATTTGTGTTGTGGCGAAAGAATTTAGATAAGAATCTTTGATGTTACAGAATAGAGATCGGTACCAACTACTGCATTTCGTACCAAAATGTGCTCTTTATCTAATAAAATCAGAAGAACGCCAACACATTCACTCCAATTTAACTACAGAAAGTTCAGGAACTAGCTCAGATCCACTCCCATTACAAAGTGTCGAGGGTACCAGTTCATTTCAGTTCATCCTTCTACTAAAAAAAGGTGGGCTGAAGATGACTATCACAAGAATAATTAGCAGAAAATGCGAGTTCCCTTGCTAATCAGACTGAAACCTATATGGGCGGAAGTGCACTCAATGCCCAATTGCCCATATATGAGTTAAATGTTTGTCAAGCTGCTCCTGTAATTCTATATCTCTCTGTTTATTACTATCATCTACTTATAAGCAATTGAGATAATTATCCCAATCAAAATCACATGACTTCTCTATAGCCCTATACACCTGCTTCCACCTCCAGCTGTTCTGACTTCTAACAAGCCCAACCATGCCAGTACTTCTGCGGTTCAGCCACAGCTGGACGATGGCTTGTGCCAACGGATGGCTAGCGCATGATGTCAGCTACACAGAAGTTCTGATCAGTGTGGATTTGTCAGTGTGCACCTTGTTACGTGTTTCTTAATTTCTTTCTATGTACACTGGAATCACACCCAGGGATCTGCTAGGATGATGATTAGTTCCGTGGCTTAGATGCTGCCAAGAGAATCATCGCTAGCTGGAGACCCTGGTTGACACAGGCAGTCAGGAAAAGGGTTCTCATAAAATGCCTCTTCTGACCGAAACCTGTCTTTGCCCTTTGTTCCTGAGATCGGACCTTTTCGTTTCCGTGGAGAGCCTTGTCTGAAGAATAGAACAAGAACAAAAATAAGGAACAAACACACATCAGTGTCTTTTAGTTGTCATGCATATCATCAGTTTAATACCTTTTCTGGTGGATGTCTATTATCCTTTGCGATAGCCTCTCCCCTTCCTTTAGTAATCCACTAGCAACTTTGTCAAACAATCGAACTAGTGCTTTCCTGGACCAAAGAAAGAAGATGATGAGATGCATAACGAAAAAGTAGAACAAATTGTGAGCACAGTGAGAAGTGAGAAATGCAGTGGTTTGTGATTGTACCTGTCAGGACTGATTGTCTTCCTATGGCCAAGGAAACGCCTGTGACCTGCAACAGCCCGTGCCATGTTCCCCGAATAAGATGGAATAAAGACATCACTCTCCACTGAAACAATATAATCTAAAGCTGCCATTTGAGCAGCATATTGGCTGAAAGGCCGCAACTCCTCAGCTGAGGCAAGTTTTTCCTGCAGTGGAGTACACGACATATGTCAAAGTGGCAACTAAAGAAAATTGTATTAAAGGTTACATAACAAATGGAATGATAGTTGCTCTACCTTGTTCATCAGAATAGGGAACCTTGATTGTAAATCAACCTTATGTGATTCACCTCCATATATTTCCCCTGCAGCTATGTAGACTGGGGTGCTTGATGGATACCCTAGCCCAGAAAGAAACATGCCGACTTCCTTTGGTGTCAAGGGGCAGTACCCGTGGGATCTTTGTTCTAATGGATCAATGTCCTTCACCTTCCAGTAGGTTGTGTTTTCTCTGTAGATACAGGAGCAGAATTAGATTAACAGCTGGTAACATCTACTGCTGTTAAAATACAAGCAAGACAGTGTAAATAAACCATAAGGCCTTGCCTGATCATTGCAAGTTCTTCTGATTCTGTTTGTGATAAACCATATGTGCAGCCACTAAAGGCAAGCACATCCTTCTCATAGCGCAAATGCAAAGCAATATACGGCCCAAATGACCTCATCCTCTCCACCAATAGCTGGAAGAAAATCAGTTAATCTTTGCTTATCTAAACAACACTTGTATACATTTCAGAGAAATTAATGATCGAGATGGGAAGATATGAGAGAATGATTTACTTTGCCTAGAGCTTCAATTGGGGGAGCAAATCTCAGTGCTTGGAAAAAGGCCCGACAACGAAGCTTCTGAATGTCAGGAGGGAGATGGTTGTTTGCAAGGCGGGAATCTGACTTAGCAGCTCGAATGACCTAGTACAAATCATCAATCAGTATCACAGTTCCAAACGTTGCATTAGTAATCGCTGCTTAGAATTGGATAGTATGGAAGTGCACAGTGGTGATTGAATTCAGACCTGGCGATGGTCCCACAGTGGAGAGATCTCATCCTCGTAATAATCTACCCCAGACCAACTCTTGAAGTACCTAACAGACTTTGGAGCTTTCACCAACTCCTTTGGCAGTTTTTTCTCAACTTTCACATCATTAGCTAAAGAATTTATGAAGTGTTCTTCATCAAAGACATCTGAAAAGTTGCTGATATTAAAAAGTGGTCTCATCAGTCTCAGATCAGTTCATGGAAGGCTGAAAATAAACCCAGTATATGACCTACCTTTGGTCAAGCCAAAATGATTTCTTATCAAGCTCTGGAATGATGAGTGTAGCATTAAGTATGCACGCAACTGCCACCATATCACTGATCTGCCATAAGAATAAGAATGTTCTATTAAAAAGGAGACAAACATTTGAGGGATTTTGCGTCTATAGTGAGCTACCCATGATTATTCATTAGCAACACAAATCTACAGTAAACAAAGCGCAGCAGTAAATAAACAATAAAGAAACATTCCCCTTTCTATACCCAAATCACATGAAGCTGATGTTAAGGGATTAGGAAAAGTCCCAATTGGCAAAACAAAACAAAAAAAAAGGTTTCAGTTATCTTAGCCATAATTAATTAAGGGAACCTAAAGAAAAAATAGCAAATTCTCCTAATTCTTTAAAGTCAAGTACAACTAAAACACTATTAGTAGTTAATTTCAGTTATCTAACAATCTGCATGCACAAGCAGAGTGTAACTGCTTTTGGTCTCCCCTAATAAAACAAACAACTTTCTTTATCCTGCTATGAAGAAAAAAACAAGATAATGACTGAAGCTTGGCATGGATATGACAGAGGCACATCCAAACAAGTGTCATTTATCAGAATCAGAAAAACGAAAATGAGCATGATACTCAATACCAAGCACCACGAAATGAAATTTGGAATGGCAACGAGACAACATCCACCCACCAACCATTCTCAGGAGTAATAAGCACTCTATCTTTGACGCAGTTGAGCCATTCAATCTGTGTCGCTGATAACTCAGTTAACAAAATACTAATTGGGAAACAAACAGCTTACTTTCAATCACCATATACAGCTTAATCAAGCACATCTGACATCACTAAGAAAGAGTGGAACATTAGCAACAGAACACCAACTGCACGTGATTAAAGCACCAAAGGACTGCTCAGTCCCACAGACACTGAGAGTTAGGAGAAGCACATTGAGAGCAAAAAAAGCAAAGCTGGTATTGATGGGTGTTCACAAACTGTCAACTCTGATCAAACACCCCACATGCCCGAACGACAATGTTCTCCCACGCTTTTTGGGGGAGATATTAGCCCTCCCCACTCAAGTCAACACATCTAATGCAAATCAATCAATGAATATCTTCGGTCATCAGTAAGGCAAGTGATAAATTTCGACCAGGACGGTCCAGCTTACCCCAGCGCGCATCTGGTTGAGTCCTCCATTGGTGTGTACGAGCAAGTACCCCCTCGACACCACCGGGCCTGCAATGCAAGATGAACGAAATCAGAGCTGCACACAAGAATTTGGACCACGAGGCGAGAAA